ACAGTGACCTTTTTTCTGCCTGCTATCTCTGCTGTGTCATCAGGTGAGCTGTAGTTCCTCCTTTGTTGGGCTAACAGAACTACACCATGACCTGCAGTAGCCGTCACAGCAGCACTGGTAATTGTAGCAGGCTGAAGGTGTCACGAATCCAGTCGGTGGCCTTCCGTCCGATTGCCACCAGAGGTCGCCCTTCCATTATATTGACTTTCACACCACACAGACTGTTACACGTCACCCTGGACTACATTTCCCATGTTACATTGCACTGATTGGACTCACCTGCAGTCAATCACACACACACTATATTACACCCACTCAGATCCTTCTCAAACTGCCGAGTATTGTTCTGTGTTTATCACTCTCTTAGTGATAGCTGCTATACGGAGCCATATCGTGTTTTCATAGTCTAGTCTAGTCTTGTTATTATCTGTTTCCTGATTCCTGCCTTTGTACCTTGTATTATCTATTGTTTTACCGTTCGGACTCTGTTTGCCCCTGCCTGGACTATTGTTGCGTACCTGGATTATCTCTCTTTGCCTTGCCCTGTTGGATATTGTTCGCCGGAGTCTGATCACGTCTGTCCTTGGACTACTCTTGTGTTTTGCCCGTGCCATACCTGTTTGCTGGTGTTTCGACCCTGCCTGTGTTATTGACCACGTCTCTGTCTAATAAAGCTTGCAAATGGATCTGCACGTCTCTCGTCTCGTTCGCCCTGTTAAAGAAGGTCAGCTTTGCAGAGTTGTTTTAACTGAAACTTGCCTAGTTACTCATGCGTTCAGGCTACTAGCTAAATGCTAACTGCACTGATGCTATTCAATGGAACAGTTACAGTATATTTAATAATGTAATTATATAATTGTAAATAATATGATTGTAAATTATTGTAAATAATTAAAATAAAAAAATAAAAACATTTAAAAAATAGAATATTTTATATATCAAATATAAAATTATATAAAATATATTGTTTAGATTAGATTAAATTTATAATTTAAGCAATTTTATTAAAAAAATAAATAAATAAATAAAAACAATGAGGGTTTTTGAATGAATGAATGAGTGAATGAATGAATATTTCATTAGGGTGACAGTTTTTCACAGAACTTATGAATACATATATACATTTATAATATAATAATACTATTTTGAACTCTATAAAAACAAGTAAATTATTATTAAATACAATAATAATTGTAAAAGTTCCGGTTACTAACTTAACCTCGGTTCCCTGAAATAAGGGAATGAGTGTTGCGTTTAACATGCTTTTTGGGAAACTCCTGTTTACTCTGATACTGAAGCCTGATTTGTTCATGTTCATATAACTGCACGAACAAATGGCGCTTCATCCCGCCAAAAGGGGAGGAGCCAACTGACATATAAGTTGCTTCAGAGCGCCATTCGTCAATTTTTCGACTGTCAGCGACAGCCATAGACTTGACAGCACGGCAGCTTATTCAACGCTCATTCCCTTATCTGGAGCATTCCCCTATCTGGAGCATTCCCTATCGAACAGACTCTCCCACTGAGTTTAACATGCTTATGGGGAATGCATCCAATAGCGCCATGCTATAAGCAAGTGAAGAACTAAGCCGCTTTGCGAGCCCAGCCCCAGAGCGCACGTAATGAGGGCTCCTAAAAAGCATGAGCTAATTATGAGACCCAAGCCACCTGCCTTGGGACTACATAGCAGAACCCTTTCCACTCACAGAGGGGATCAGGTGAATTACGCAGACAAAATCCGTGCCTGGAGGGCAGGGACGTCTTAGTTGTAAAACATAGTAAAGGTTGACAGCAACAACCAGTCGGCGGCTGCATAGATATCACCAAGAGAAATCTCGCTGGTCCACGCCCAGGAGGAGGCCATCCCTCTGGTGGAGTGGGTCCTCACCCCGATAGGACACTGTAAACCCTCTGAGGCATAAGCCAGGGCAATAGCATCAACTATCCAGCGAGAAAGTCTCTGCTTCGTAACCAGCAGCCCTTTAGAGCAGCCTTTCGAAGCAAACAAAGAGCTGCTCTGAGTGTCGAAACGGGCCAGAGCGCTAAATGTACACTCTAAGAGTCTGAACCGGGCAGAGTGGATTGGGACCCTACTCATCCTCTGAATTTGGAAGAGCAAGAAGAGTAATGATCTGTGCTCTGAACAGGGTTGATAGCACCTTAGGCACATAGCTGTGTCTTGGTTTGAGGACGACTTTACAGTCGTTAGGCCCAAACTCAAGACATGAAGCACTGCTTGACAGTGCTTGCAGGTCACCTACTCACTTGACCGACACTAATGCCAAAAGGAGGGCGGTCTTGAGTGACAGGTGCCACAAGTCGGGCGACTGGAGCGGCTCAAAGGCAGGACTATAGGTAAGTCCCAGGTCAGCACAGTATGTGAACGAGGTGGATTCAGTCTCTAAGCTCCCCACTGAAACTTAACAACAAGATCGTTTTTGCCGACTGACTGGCCAGCCACGAGTGCATGAATCACTGTGATGGCTGCCACATATACTTTGAGCGTGGAAGGGGTGCGCCCCTCATACAGCAGCTCTTGCAGAAAGGTTAACACGGATGACACGTCACAAGAGGACGGGTCTTTGTTCCATACTGCACACCAGTCAGAAAAGACTTACCATTTAAGGGTGTAGATGCGTCTGATAGACGAGGCTCTAGCCTCCAAAATGGTATTAGTTACACTAGCGTGGAGTTGTAAAGGTTCCCATCAAGTGGCCAAACATGAAGGCTCCACAGCTCGGGCCGGGGATGGCAAATCATGCCTCTCGTTTGCAAGAAGGAGGTCTGTCCTCAATAATAATTCCTTAATAATAATAATACCTCTTCCAGCAGCAACCTAATTTTCCCAGGAGGTCTCCCATCCAGGTACTGACCAGGCTCAACCCTGCTTAGCTTCAGTGGGCAACCAGTCTTGGGCTGCAGGGTGATATGGCTGCTGATCAATGGTATCGGCCAAGGGGCTGCTGATATCAGTTGAATCAACTTGGGGAACCACTTCTGATTCCTCCAGAGTGGGGCTACCAGGAGGGCCGAGCATCTGACTTTCCTGACCTGTCTGATGACCAGATCATTTTGAACCATTTGGGGATGTAGTCTCCATTCTCCTGGGGCTACATTGCAGGGCTAGAAAAACTGCCATCACCTTGAGGCAGTTGTGCAAGCAGATGTGCAAGCATTGCTCCAGGTTTGACCAGGAGCTAAACGCCGGTCTGCCTTTGCACAGTGCATGTGCAGTAGACCCAGAGGAATCACAGCATCTGGGCTGAATCGATAACTGTCCCCAGGAAGACAACTCGCTGGCAGGGAAACAGAGAGCTCTTGGCTAAATTGATTTTTAGCCGAAGTAACAGTGACCCGTGAGCAATGAGTTCCTGATCTGATCTGGCTAACACAAGCCAATCGTCGGGGTAATCCATAATTCCCATCTGTCTCAGAGGGGAAAGAGCCACGTCCACACACTTCGGAAAAGTGTGTGGGGTCAGGGACAGTCCGAATGGCCAGACTATATATTGATAAGCCACCCCCTCAAACGTGAATCTCAAGAACGGTCTGTGATGAGGGGCTATCTGGATGTGAAAGTAAGCGTCTAAATGGCAAGACGGTATATTGATAAGCCACCCCCTCAAACGTGAATCTCAAGAACGGTCTGTGATGAGGGGCTATCTGGATGTGAAAGTAAGCGTCTTTCAGATCCACCGATAAAAACCAGTCCCCGGGGCATATCTGCATGAGGTTCTATTTCAAAGTCAGCATCTTGAACAGCCGTTTCATAAACATGCAGTTCAGATGCCTGAGATCAAGAATGGGCCTGAGCCCGCCATCTCTTTTGGGAATGAGGAAGTAGTGGCTGTAAAAGCCTGACTCACTGTTCGCTAGAGGAACCATCTTAACAGCTCCTTTTGCAAGCAAAGTTTGCACTTCAGATCGGAGAACGGGAGCATCGTTGTCCTGTACCGAAGTTTGAATAATACCTTAAGTGAGGAGGCCTGTGAGCGAACTGGAGCGAGTTATCTCGTTCTATGGGTTTTAGAACCCAGCTTGGCATATCCGGAATGGCTTTCCAAGCCTGGAACTGGGTGGCCAGCGGTTTGAGTTTCTCGACTGACAGTTCACTGCGTGGGGGGGGGGGACTGACATCAGTGGTAATGAGCAAAGGAGAAATGCTCTTTTGAGTATGTCAGTCCGCTATAACAGCTGTAATTTTGTTGGGCGGGCACTAAAGGGTGGGTCCAATTTGAACAGCTTCTGTCGTCCACTAGGCAGGGGAATAGAGAGCAGACGCGAGCTTTTTCATGCTCCAGTACCACCAAATTGGCCATGGCCTTGCCAATCACCTGCTCAGTGGCTTTTGTATCGCACAGAGCCACAGCTGAGGTCGTCCTGCAGGGCTTAGATGGATGCGCTGCATTGGCTTTTACCCACAGGGCCGATTGAGGGTACAGATGCGCAGCGACTGCCTCCTTGAGAGGGGGGAGCTTGCCATATCCTCTTTCCTCAGCGCCGTCAAGTGGTGAGAGCAGCAGAAGTGGAGGAGTTAACATGCGCCAAATAGGGGGCCGCCACTCGCAGCCGATGAGGGGCGCTGATCCTCACGTGTGAAGCACACAGGCGAATTGAGGTGCTGCGGGGAGAGTGAAGCACCGGCATGAGTTCACTCGAGCCCAATTGAACCCGCTGCTCCGCTGTTTCTTCCTCCGAGCCTCGAGGGAGGAAATGGGAGAGCAGGCCGAGGAGGTCCCCCTTCGTGAAAGAAGGCTATCTGTGAGCGAAGCAGGGCGAGATTCATGCTCTCGCAGTGAGAGCATTCAGTCCCAGTGAGTGCAGCTTCAGCGTGGGCACTGCCCAGGCAAGCTACGCACTCACCGTGCCCGTCTGTGTCATGCAGGGGCTCCTTGCATGAGCCACACTCACAGCACGACATTTTCAACAACATTGCAGAGAAATTTGCTCAGAAAATGTACCCTTTTTAATCGGCCGGATGGCCGCAAGGGAAGTCTTGCTCAGCGATCTTCCGCTGCCAGGGGCTCTTCTACTTCGAGCAGCAGGCTGAACTTCTTGCTTCTGCTTCTTTCTTCAGAGTCCAGCGAGGAGATGATCTTCGTCGCTGAAGGAGAATAATTTGACAAGTGGCGCTCTGAGCCGAGTTATATAGAAGTTGGCTCCTCTCTTTTTGGTAGGTTGTGTCATTTATTCGTGCAGTTACACGAACGTGAACAAATCAGACTTCAGTATTAGAGTAAACAGGAGTTTACCCATAAGCATGTTAAACGCAACGGGAGAGACCATTCGATGGGGACCAGAATGAATGAATGAATCTTTGATTAGTGACAGCATTAAACTTATACAAAGTATAATATATATAT